TACAGCGGTGCCTTCTACATGGGCAAGTTTGCTGGCCCAAGTCCTAAACGGCACCGGATCTGGACAAATGACAAAACACTGGTGGAGAAGATTGTGGCTAGGGCAGGCTACATGTCCCGACTGGAGCTGCGGGAATTTGCTACCAAGCTCACCAGAAGGTACATAGACGCGCTGGGTGTCAAGCGCTATTCGGGTGTGACAAGGAAATTGAAGGCCTCCCAGAATCTCGACCCAAAGCTATACATATACGTACGACCATTTGCCCTGTGAATTCCCCTGCGCCTCGATCCAACCAAGGACGTACACGGTCGAATTTGGTGTCTTCCTGGCTCGCCTGTTCCAGGATCTCTTCAAGGCGCGGCATGTACGTTCCCAGGGTTATATATGTCACACACACATATACCCTGGCCACATTGAATATATTGTTATACGGCTTCAATATATATTAGCTGACTTTAACGACAAATTGCTTTGCAGGACCACGCAACCCAATATATAAATGTTTTGACAATTGCTGGAATTCACGCAGGTGCCCTTCTCGCAAACGCTGAGAGTATCCCATGCTGTTAATCCGCGCCTCACAGGTCTGGAGCTTTTCTCAGAAAGCTGCCTGGCCGATGACGGTTCGGGAATCTCAGGCGATTCATGGCCTGATGTGCCTCGCTGCAGTAGCCAACGTACTGCCTAATTATTATAGTACATATTGTTCGACATGGATACTCTTAACTGTAAGTACGATTCCAATGTGCAATTTGCAGCCCAGGCACGCCTTCAAGATGTGGTCGACTACCTCGGCCAGTCCAGAGATCTGGATCCTCCTGGTGGCTGGGCCGCTTGGCTTCACGAACAAACCATGAAAGGCACTGAATTTCACACCTCCATGCTTCCGCGCTGCTTAGGTGAATGTTTTGAGGCATGCAAGAGGGCACCTGTGAATTTCACACGAGATTTCACGCGATCTCCGTGGTCAAGATGTGGGGGAGCAGCAACATTCACAAAGAGATGCGGGCGTGAAAAATCGATACTTGACCGTGCGGCGTCGGTACTTGACCGTGCTGCGCCGTGATTCACGTGATTCACGCCGGGGGCCTTTCGTTCGCATGTCCTATAGTGTCGAACTTGCACGACTGTGAAATTCAGCAATTTCACGACCCATGTTGCCTTAAGTGATTGGTTTTGCTTGCGCAGCGCAGATTTGAAGCTGCCCCGGCTGTGATTCTCGACTGCCGGAGTTGCAATGGGTAAGAAAGCCGCCCTGACCAACGAGCAGAAGGAGCAGTATGCTGAGGTCATGCAAAGCTTGAAGGCTAAGGGGGTCATCAAAGATGTGGGGGTAACCAAAGACAGCACTGAGCCTGTCACCAAGCGTGTCAAGGGCAAAATGACTCCGAAAGAGACTGCTGCAAAGGAAGAGCAGCCTGAGCCGAAAGCACCCAAGGCGAAAGCCAAAAAGCACCCGAAAGCGAAGGCCAAACAGCCAGAGCCCGTTGCAGCAGAGGAGGAGGAAGCCTGCTTCTTCGATGATCAGCTTGGTATTGAGATCAGTTGGAAGAACTTCCCTGCAGTGCTCGCTAAGGTCAGGGGTTCCCACCCGATGGAAACCAATGATTCTTGCATCGAAGCACTCAAGGAGGCACTGGGTCCTTGTCCTGCCGCCCTGAAGACGGCCGTTGCCGAGGAATGTGTTCGTGTGGATGAGCTCGAAAAAGCCTCAAAGGTCGACCCAGGCCCAATTGATGATGCTATCGATGGGGACGAGACTTCATGTGATGAGGCCTCTGGTGATGAACTGAAGAAGGCCCCTGCTCAGAAGCCCGACCCCGCTGACGAGGACACCCAGGTGACCCAGACGCATGCTTAGATCAGGTACGTAGATCGGGCCTTAAGCTTAAGTTTTCTTCATTTAAACAAGATGTTCACGATCAGGTGCTCCCCGGGCCTGAGAATGAGCCCCCGGCTGTGAAACCGAAGCCTGTTCAGAAAGCAAAGAACCTCGATCGCCAGCTTTCGGGCAAGCCGCTATTCTGCATCCCACATCGGTTCAAGTTCACACTCGAATTCACCATGACTATAAGCCACTATAGCAACATCTCAGGTCGTGCGCTACTTTGCTACACGGGCTGAAGATCGCGGATGAGCAAGCCTATGCCGGACGCCCGGCCTCGACCCTGGACATTGTGCCCGAGAAGGTTGAGTGGCTTTCCAGCTCAAACTTAAGTGTGAAAAGCTGCATATGTTTGCCCATACGTGGTACTTAAGCTGCACCTGCGCTTTTACACTGCCCAAGGCCAGAAGAGACCCCCTCAGAATTGGCTAACATGAATGTGGACGGCGACCTGCGTTCTCTCCTCTGCAAGTTGATCCAAGACAACAAAGAGCTCAAAGTTCAGGTAAAGAAGCTTACCGCCCCAAAGCCGAAGCCTGCGCGTCCCAGTCCGGATCTTGACGCTCAGTTCCAGGCTGATTTGGAGAAGGCCATGGAAGCCTCGAGGGCCAGCGCTGGCCTGTCGTCTTCGTCGAGAGCCGGTTCGGTTGCTTCGGCTCCGGTTCGTGTGAAAGCTCCGGTGTTGAAGGTTACTGGGGAGGGGCTAATCAGGATGGACGGGCCTGAGGATGACGAAGAGGACTCCCAGCATGATGTTGCTGATGAAGGAGAAGATGGGGAGGAGCTCGGGGAGGGCACAGAGGAAGAGGAGGAGGAGGCGGAGGAGTCGGAGGATGAAGAGGGGCCCCCAACAAAGAAAGCCCGAACCAAGAAGACCGACCCAACCGAGAAGACCAACCCAACCGAGAAGACCGACCCAACCGAGAAGACCAACCCAACCAAGAAGACCGACCCAACCGAGAAGGCGCATGAGATCACATCGACGTCACACCGCAAGGAGTACATGGCACTGTCAAGGCGCATGGAAGGCATCGATGTGTCCAAGTATCCGGAAATGTCTTCGCTTTGGAACTCGTCCCGCGCTGAAACTAGGCGTCGAATCGATCATAAATTTGGGGTTGCTCTTTTTTGAATGTTGACATATGTATATTAGATAAGCGCGTGTCTTCAGCCCAGGGCAAGCGGGAGCTCTTGCGCAAGTTCCTGGAGAAGGGCTTGAATCTTGATGCGACAGAGGCCGCCCTGGTCATAACTCGATCGAGAGCAAACGAAACTGTCAAGAACCGCGAACACCTCACCATCAGCGAAATGATCACCCGCGGGTTCTCGATGTAGCTGCAAAGCATTAGTGTCCATGCACGAAGCGTCGTTTGTATATCTGGGAACGGCTCGATATATTGCACGTATACCTGAGGAAAAAAATCGAGGCAGTAGTCCGCCGAGGAGGTGACGAAGATGAAGATGTTCCTGATGACCCAGAGTCGGTGCGATACTGGGTGGCGACGGGAGGGGTGAACCATGATCGTGAGGAAGAGAAACAGTCTGGTGAGGTTAAGCTGCATGTGAAACCGAACTCTGCTGTAGCCCTGTCCCTCATCAGTGACGACAGTGCCTCCACGGTGCGACGGGGATCATCGACGTCCTCGCTGGCTGTTGCTGGGGCTGAGGATGGTTTGGCCGTCTTGCGGAACTTGAAGGATGCATCAGGTGCTACTGGAGGCCAGTGCCTACGCATGCATGTCTGTGATTACATTTCATTATGTTCGGGAAGCGCACGGGCCCTGAGGCAACAAACCTAAGGGCAAAGCAAAGGCCAAAGTCAAGCAGCAGGCGCCCAAGACCCTGAAAGAGTTGCGTGAGGACATCCGTAGCTTCGATCAATTTAGAGTTAATTGAATCGTTTTTTTCTGAATCTGAATGGTGCACGCTTTTTGTCACTGTTCCTTTGGCATTTAGCTGTGCAGTTCAGGCAAGGAGCTAAAGAAGGAGATTGCAGCCAGTTCCATCGCCTTCGATCTTCCCCAAGACAATGAGCTCAGAACCCATCTGGAGTCCAAGAAAGCTTCCCTCGAGACTGCCCTCTCGACGTACAGCCCCTACAAGAACACACAAATGTCTCCAGTTAAGTGACCTCCATGCAGCTGATCCCTGAAATCCTTTCAACCCAGGTTGAACGACGTGCTCGACCAGGACCTCGAGACCTACTGTGAGAATTGCTCCGAGAAAGCAACTTGGTTTATCCATGCATGGTATCCCCCTGGTTGCAAACCCCTGAATTTTTAATCCCTGTCAATGTTCCCCGACTGCGCTCGAGGTCGAGCAGACAAAGCTGGTCCGTGTGCAAGCCAGAGCTGTCGTGGCTGAGATGCGGAAGCAGTAGATGTCGATCTGCAGCCGGCATTGTTTAAGTAGGGTGGGCCCAGCAATGGTCATCGGATGTTCGTGGGGTTACCGTATAGGAAAATGTTGGCGCCAGGGCAACAGTTAACTAGTGCTTTGACATTCGTGGCCGTAGGCCTGGGCTCCGAGACGATCGAGTGCACATAGGTACTGCGGCAAGTATCATCTTTTGGATGTGTGGGCCCCGCAGTATAGTGCGCTCACTTCGATTTTGCTTCTCCCCGGCGACTTGCTCTAGATCAATCGCAGTGATCTATAGACCATGTGCCAAGCGTGCGTGCTGGCTTGCTGCGAGAGGATGAAACAATTACGGTTAAGCTTTGGATCGAGTGCGAAGTGTGTTTGTGCCATCTCCAACTATGTACGCGTACTTATGTGGATATACAACCGGGCCTCGATCGCAGGTGCAGCACGTGGCTTGCACCAACGCCTCGATGATGCGTGCCAGGGCTTATTAATTGTTAGTTAACATGCTATATACACATATGCTCGCAAACAACCCTTGACATTTGCCACAACTGCAATCGCTGTGTGCAAGGCTGGCCCTATCAATAGGGCAAGGCTACGCTTCTGTGCGACATGCCCGAGCAACTGCTGAAGTGTATGACAGCGAATTGATTCCGATTCTTGGTAGCATGTAGACTTAAAACCCAATCTGGCACCTTGACCATGTTGTCGTTGAGAGCAGCGGTCCGGCCTGGGGTCGGGTTAAGGAATGACCGAGAGGAAGGCCTACATGAACGGGCCCGTCGCATGGATGTGACCCTGAAAGCCGATATATCTACTATCAAGCTGCCCTTGAAAACCAGTTCGGATGATCCCACTGTTGTTTGGGAAGACTGGCCTATGGTGCTTCCTCACAATATGGAACCTTGCTCGGCACGAATGTATTTTGGAGTTTTCTTTTTATGAACAACCTGTATACACATATATCCTAGGGTTCCCATGCAGCAGCCCAGGTTGAGGCCATCGTGAAGGCTGGCTACTTGAAGAGTCTTGTGTCTGATCTTTCGGCCATACCTGCGTTTTGGGAGAAGTTCCTGTTGGACTACCCGAATCACCCTGTGGCTACATCAGAGCACCGGAACTCAACGCTTGGATTTACGCTCTACAGCTCCTTGGTAGAGTCTAAAGATCTAAGAAGGGTGTCACAATAAGTACCGGTTTCGTTTGAAATCGAAAGCCTTCAATTTCGAGGCGACGAAGCACAATCGTGCAACGAGCTGTGGCTTTATTTAATCTGGACTTCGGACTTCTCGCCTTACCTCTCAGATTCCGCAACATCCAGGATGGTGATGGGCATAATTCCGGCTTCAAGGTATCTCATCGACCCCGACACAGGCGTGAATTTAAGTATTCAAGCGGCCTGCTTCCACATCGCCCAGAGCTTCAACCGACTGTCCCAAGAGGGAGTTCCTGTGAAGGACCTGTCTACGGGTGAAACAGACGCTTGGGTCTGCAATTAGAATACGCTTAGGCACCTACGTGTTTTTCAAAATGGCTTATAATCCCGTATATATGAGCTTTTAAACATACGCTACAGGTGCTGGATCTGCGCGTGTACATTACCGGATTCCGTGGCGATTGGAAGGCTCTTAAGCAGGTGTTCAACTTCTCCAGATACGCTGACAAAGATGAAGTGCCTTGCTCACAGATATCCCATACTGATTCCGTTTCCAAGGTTTGGGAACTTAGGGCTTTCGAGTCGTTTCTGATAATCAAGGTCTGCTGGCAATGTCTTGCCACAAAAGGTTTGGACGCTGCGAGCCTGCCGATGGCGTATACAAACGTGAACCACGACGCTGCTTGGATATCGACCGAAGGCACCCAGTTGCCATGGAAACTGAGTCCTGCATATACGCTTTTGGAGGGATTCGACCCTGGATTTATTCATGGGGACATACTTCATATGTTCCATCTTGGGACGGGGAGGGACCTCGTCGCCTCTACTTTGGTGATCTTGCTTCAAAAGCGTGGCTTTTTTGCTGGATCTTCTGTTACGGATCGCCTGCACACGGCGACGTGCGAGCTCAAGGAGTACTGCCGACAACATGGCTTGCCGTTGAAGCTCCAGAAGCTGTCTAAGAGCAAACTGAATTGGAACTCCCGGAATGGCGGAACTGAAGTCGAGTGGGTACGACACCTACGTGATCCTTAAGTGGGTCCTGCACGTCGCCACTAAGTTCCAAGATCAGCTCCCCATGGGCAGTGATCTATGCAGGGCCCTCTGGTCAGCTGACCATGTCCTCAGCTTGATGGCCCACGGAGGCCGCTTTCTGACCCAGCAGGAACAGGCGAACAAAGTTGCCTTTGGAACGGTCTTTATGAGATCCTACCTTCGCCTCGCAAAGCGGGCCATTCAGGATCGGCAACGCCTGTTCCGGCTGCGGCCGAAGTTGCACATACTGCATCATATCCTCAAGTCGAATCCTGCGTCGAGGTTAAACCCGAACGTCTTTTCGACTTGGATGGACGAAGATGGGCTAAAGAAGCTGACGAAGGTCCACAAGTTGACCAGCAAACACACGGCCCCCAAGAGACTTTTACAGAGGCAACTCTTGGGCCTGTGCAAGCTTTGGGACCGCAAGCGCCGGAAACACTGAAAAAAGAAGCTGAGCATCCGGCATAGGTGCTCGTTGTGGGTCCAGCGTCACCATGTACATGTCAGGAGTAGACGCACAGACACACACACACAATATACGTTATATATATATATATATATATAGACACATGTATATGTTCATATATCGCGGTAATTTAGATATACGGGCGTTACCCCGAATACACTCAAACCCAACCCGACTCTTCAGGGTTTCCAGGGAAGGTTGGGCTTTTTGTCCTCGATAAACAAAAAAGACCCTATAATCTCCAAGAAAACGAAACCATCTGGAACCCTAAGTTTTGTTGGCTCAATGATGCTGGATGCCTTTTTTTGCTCATGATGCAAGTGTACTTAAATGCCAAAAAACTCATACCGTGAAAAACGTATGGCCGTGAAAAGTTTGTTTGGCCGCCCCCACTTCTTTTCATGTACGCCAGCCGTCTGGCCGCCCTTTGTGTGATCAAACTGGTCTCCAGGGTGTGTGTGCGTGTGCGTGTGCGTGTGCGTGTGCGTGCGCGTGCGCGTGCGCGTGCGCGTGCGCGTGCGCGTGCGCATGCGCGTGCGCGTGCGCGTGCGCGTGCGTGTGTGCGTGTGTGCGTGTGTGCGTGTGTGCGCGTGTGCGCGTGTGCGCGTGTGCGCGTGTGCGCGTGTGCGCGTGTGCGCGTGTGTGGGTGTGTGTGTGTGTGTGGGTGGGTGGGTGTGTGGGTGGGTGGGTGGGTGGGTGGGTGGGTGGGTGGGTGTGGGTGTATGTATGCATATATACATATATACATATACTATCTATATATATATATATAGAGAGAGAGAGAGAGAGACATTGAGAGAGATATTGAATGACAATTTAGCAAGTCGAGCAGCCACGGTGTCTCCAGGAGACGAGTGAAGGAAGGCTCCTGAAAGGCATTTCGAGCGACGTCTAGGGAGGCCCAGGGTCCAAGGAATGAGACTGCCAAGGGCCTGACTGCCCCTCAACCCGAAACCCTGAACCCTAAACCGGCCTAACGGCCTAAACCCTAAACCCTAAACTCTAAGCCCTAAGCCCTAAGCCCTAAACCCTAAACCCCAAGCCCTAAACCCTAAACCCTAAACCCTATGCCCTGTGCCCTAAGCCCGAAGCCCTAAGCCCCTAAACCCCAAACACCAGGATGACTTTAAGATTTCGGTTTCTGGTTCGAGGGATGTGGGGCCCTCGCGGGTTTGGGGTTTAGGGTTTAGGGTTTAGGGTTTTTGGGTTTGCGGTTTAGGGTTCAGGGACGATCGTTCAGAAGCAACTTCGGATCTAACACCCTAAGCCTAGCTTGTGTAGACCTTGAACACTACCTGAAGGGTCTAACGTAGATATTTTTCGGGTTAGGTATACAGAGGATTGCAGTATACTGCCCTGGGAAGGTATAGCATGAGGAGCCTTGAGGTAAAACCCTAAAGCCTAGACCCCCAAAGCCTAAATTCCAAACCCCAAGCCCTAAACCTTTGCAGCCCTGCAAAAACGCTCTGCATCGCCCAACTCCCCCTCAATGCCGAGTAGCGCTGCAGAGCGGTCTGTGATGCCTTCCTTGGCATTTGGCCGTGTGGTTCTTGGGGGTTTGAGGGTTAGGGTCTAGGGGTTAAGGTTTAGGGTTCAGGGTTTAGGGCTATTCTTAATACTTTTTTCTTTCGTTTCCTTTTTTTTTTTTTTTTTTTTTTGGGGGGGGGGGGGGGGGGGGGGCGGGGGGAAGCGGGGATTGAAGCCTAGGGCCTTACGGATTGGGGCTCTATGGCTGAACTCTTCAACCCCCCGGCACCCGGAAACCCTAACACCCTAACGCTCGAAAACCCTAAACCCTAAAGCCTAAACCCTATAAACCCTAACTTAAACCCCGCTGCACAGCCCTAAAACCCCAAACCCTAGCGTACAAACATCCGAAAACCTAACACCCTCAAGGCTGTAAGCTCTGAACTCGGCAGGTGCTGGCTTTCGCCGTGGCGGGAAACGGCTGGGACCCTCTTTTTGTTATTGAACCACCCTAAACCCTAAACCCTAAACCCTAAATCCTCCCCTCGCCCCTCCCAAAAAAACAAATGCAACGCACCTAAAGCTAAAAGACCTAGTTCTCGCAGGCTTTAGTTGAGGGTCTAGTCTAAGGATTGAATGCCCCAAACTCCACGATCTGGCCTCAGTGGCCATCACCCAGAACCCCGCAGGAACCTTCCCAAGACTGTCCCAGTGATGGTAGACAACACCACAAAAAATAGCAGGCCTGTGGGATTTAGGGCTTTCGGGATATTTGGGGTTTAGGGCTGTTACCGGTTCAGGGTCTGATGCGAGGCTTACTGGGGTCCCTAAACCCTAAACCCTAAACCCTAAACCCTAAACCCTAAACCCCAAACCCCAAACCCTAAGCCCCAATCCCTAAGCCCCTAATCCCTGCCCCCCCCCACCCCCGCCCCCCCCCCCCCCCGCCCCCCCCCCCCCCCCGCCCCCCCCCCCCCCCCCCCCCCCCCCCCCCCCCCCCCCCACCCCCCCCCCCCCCCCCCCCCGCCCCCCCCCCCCCCTTTCCCCGCCCCCCCTCCCCCCCCCCCCCCCCCCCAGGGCTTGGTGAATCCAAGTCGCAAGTTCCTGCTGGAGATCCCAACCCACCTTTCAGCAGGAGTTACTTACTTACTTACTTACTTACTTACTTACTTACTTACTTACTTACTTACTTACTTACTTACTTACTTACTTACACACTTACACACTTACACACTTACACACTTACACACTTACACACTTACACACTTACACACTTACACACTTACACACTTACACACTTACACACTTACACACTTACACACTTACACACTTACACACTTACACACTTACACACTTACACACTTACACACTCACACACTTACACACTTACACACTTACACACTTACACACTTACACACTTACACACTTACACACTTACACACTTACACACTTACACACTTACACACTTACACACTTACACACTTACACACTTACACACTTACACACTTACACACTTACACACTTACACACACACACACACAAACACACACACACACACACACACACACACACACACACACACACACACACTCGTGCAATCCTCCCTCTTCTCACGATTGTCTTAGAGGCGAAGATTTCAAAGGCAGAGCCTGCATGAACCCTCACATGAGTGTACTCTAGATATAATACGAAACAAGGACTTGCACAGCGACCTAAACAGCATCACAAACAAGCCTTGTTAAAACTGGCAGGTACGCTGCACTGGCCAGGTGCAGTCTCCCACTCTGTGACCTAGCTTTGTTAGACTGGGTCAGTCACAGAGTGCCCAGTCCCCCTGCATAAAAGTATACAAATGAATCATTGAACCTTGGCAAACAGGTGTTCCTCACACACACCCCGCTTTGCGGGGTAGCCAACAGGCGTGTTTTTGTTTTTTGCTTGGCCCTTGCTTTGCATTGGGGAAGCGGAAACAGAAAAAGGAAACGACAAAGGCTCTGCAGGAGGGCGGGCGGTTGGCTGTCGAGCCTGAAAACGTAATAGTAGCGCAAACGAAAAGTAAAGGAGCTGCAGCTGGAGGCCGCCTTTCAGGCTTGAAAAGGCCTCTCTGGCTGCGAGCATTGAAAAAGAAAACTGTGACTGCGAATGCGAACGATACTTGCGGAAAAAGAAAAAGAAAAAGGAAAGGGGTGGCCCACATTGGGCGCTTCAAACCCCGCTAGAGGACTGCACTTGCAGTTCGCAGGTCTTACAGAATGCCGCAGCCCTGCAGTGCATGTCGTATAAATACGGTCAAGTATCCACAGTTCACAGGTCTTACCAAAATGCCGCAGCCCTGCGGTGCTTGCCGACCGACAGCTGAAACAGCCAGGCGT